GGATTTCTTCACGAAATACTAGGCCAAAAGTGTTCTACTAGTATAGAACCGGTTTTCAAGCCATCAACGGCTTTACTTGCTAGAATCTCAAATAATTTTCAAATGGCAGGCTGGAGGATGGGAAAGCGGCTTCAATCACATGGCACTAACACCAGCAAAGCGGAGATCTTCAAAAACATATCACAGAGCTTCCTGTTCATTTCATGTTTTACTCTTCGCCGCAAATCCCCTTATATTGTCTGTTGTTGTTTAAATCATTTGCGGTTAAAGAACTACACATGTGGCTGAGTCTTTCTCGCTATTCGCTCGTTTATTATGTTTTATGAACTTCAAAAACAAGTTGACTTCCAGCTTTTCTGTTATGGGCTGACACAACTTATCATGATGTATTGGACAAGCTTAGCCATAGTCCCACGATCAACTCTGAACTCAATCCCAGTTCATTCAAACGTCTTTCACAAAGCACCTGGTGAGTTTACTGCCCGATCCATCCGCTTTTCCTGACCTATGCGTAAAATTTCAGGGCGAAAGTTTTTTTCTGGACAATTATCTACTTCAATATCTTTTATCCCGTGATCATGATATATGGGAAGATCTCGCTCATTTAGGACAGAAGTCTAGAGTGATTATAAGTCAGCTTTTCAAGTAATAAGCAGCGCTCATCCCAGAGCGAAGTGCTGCATAAATGATTTGACGCATGGATAAGACACGGTTGCTGACTTCACCGTCCTTGTTTCTGGTAGAGACAAATCAAAGATGATGACTTGCTTGTTGATGTTCACTGCAAAGGAACGAATCTCGTGAAAGACAGCTAAATTTACATCGACTGTCGAACGCTTTATGAGTTGTAGACGTTCCTTTCTCAGAGTGTATCGTCTTTCAATGAAGTGTGCTCTCGCGCAAGTTATTCTGAATATTACTGTTCTCTTGCTTATTGTACCTCTTATTCAAGCTATTCATTTTTTGATTTGTTATCAGCAATAAAGATGGCCAAAAAAATAAACTGATACTTTTCTTTCGAATACCACTTTTGATGTTTTGGCCCACCAGGAGCGCCTTCATTGCTGTTTCTATCCTGCTGTAGCAGTGCAACAACGATAAAAGACTTGACAGCACTTTTTGGCGTAGTGACTCTACCTGATTTCTACACTTGCCTTCAAATACATTTCCAACACCTCAGTGATAATCTTAATGACCACCTTTAGATCAGAGTCGGATGTGCATAGACGGTGTCGGGTAAAATAAGCCTTTCATAATGTGGTTGATGAAGTCATGTTAGATGAATGTAATTTATATTCTTTGCAAAATTTCAATGTTTGATAGTTTCTTTAGGTGTGTTATTCAGGCAGGAGCGTGCATCTTGCGCGCGCCCCAAATATTCCCCTCCCGTTTAGTAGAAATCAGCATTAGATATCAGATGGTTTCTGTTTCAAGCCTAATCGCGCAAATGTTTGCGCTTACATATTTGACGCCACAACAGCAAATTTTGTGTTTTAAAAAATGCAAACTATTCTTCTTACTGCGACAAGAACTAGAATTCACGTTCTACATTGGAATCGGAGCGCATTAATGAAGGTGGCTCAGCTAGGTCTGCCGCAAGGTAGCCCTGAGGCCAGGTTCTGCAGCCTTGTGCCAAAATGACATTACATTGAAAATAACTCAACGAATAAATATTGTCATGCAATGACATGCATTTTGCCTCCACGTTAAAATTTGTGCTTACGCGCGTCAGTATGGTCTATTAGCAGGAGGCGAGCCAGCGGAGAAAAAACGGCTCTGAACGGAATCTTTGCAGGGCTTAATCTTACGTCCCTAATTAGTTTGAAGCATTGCTATTGAAATAGGTAATGAAAAATTAGTACTGCCTTAAGCGAAAAATTATAGCGTGATTGCTTTGTTCTATGAGCTTCGATGGGAAAGTTGGTTGAAAGAAGGTTTTTTTTGAAATGTGACATCCCACCCAGAGCAGGAAAGGATGCTGCCCCACTGATGTGTGCAATTACCTACTATCTAAAAATATGTTTAGAGTACAAGAAGCTCCCGATCGTTTTGTATTGTGGTCCACTATTTATACATTCACTCTTATTCGCCATAGAGTTTTCTACTTGCGAGTAGTATCTCGCATCAACCATATGACCATTTCCCATATTACAAGAAATATTCTGTGGCCAAATGTATCCTTATAGCATGCCAGAGCTGTTTAAAAGCTTTCAATTAAACCCACAAGAACCGATAGACCAAAGAGTTCGAGAGCCTGGGAGGAAGGGTTGAATAGAACATCATCGAAATGGAGAAAACTCACAACATTTTCTCTTGGAAAATCAGACAAGTAAACCTTGATGTCAGAGGAATCGTGTGCTTTTTTGCGAAGAAACAAGTCAGCATTTCGATGAATCCTGCCCAGATATGTATGTTAATGGGGTAAAAGCTTTTGGATCATCCGACGAAAAGGACTCTGCCGCTTTTGCTTGAATGCTCTCCACAACAAAAATGTCTTTACGTAAGAAAACAATATTGTTATAGTAACGGTCGAGAGTACTCAAGAACTTACTTTGCCGCTTTGCTCAGAGAAATGCCATTCAAAACAAGAATACCTTTACGCAAAAAATGTTGGTGTTGCAAACGGTAACTGTTGTGAGGAATGAGCGGTTTCGCTCATTCCTCACAACAGTTACAACCTCGCGCTCTGCGACGTCCCCGATATGAAACTACGAGCGAAACCAAGAATCTCTGTCCTCAAGCTTGCTCTGAAAGAAAGCCACAGAAGACACACTCACGGCGAAGTCAGGCCCTTGTAATGGTCACGGAATAAAGGTGTAGTAAGCGAGCGTATGCACAAAATCATTTTTATGTAAAGACAGAGTTGCCTCACAGAATCTGCTGCCAAAAGCTAATCTTCATAATAATGTTCTAGGGGCAACAACAATTTGTTATTAAAGACAATCACTGAGCCGAACGTGTTAGCTGAAAGATAAAGCAAGAGCTGGCAGGCACCCATAGATCACTCTTCACTACTTGCGGCGTTTGTAATTTTATTATTTGATTGGCGTTATCATTGTACTAAGGCAAGGTCAAGAAACGGCTTTTCATTTACTCAAAAAAAAATTCTGAGCCTCAAAGACTTCTTATTGTTAGACTTTTTTGGAAATAATCTCCAAAACAGTGTGTCCCAAAAAAATGTGAGTCATCGTCAACTACTCCATTGCTTTCGTGTCTTTCGCCGAGCTTAAGATACCATCCTGTAGAGCGAGGTTCAACTTACAATTAGATCTATAGTATGGAGCGAATCATCGACCGGTCTTACTGTGATGCTTCTTCCCAAAGTTATCCCATGTAAACTGTAATAGTTCAGCATTTGTCAGAAATGTGATTACGCCGCCAAAAAAGCTCGTAAAAAGTTGCGCAGTGGAATCAGCGTGCGCGAGAACTCCAGTGCACGAGTTTTCAAATTTTTTGAAAAAACTTTGTCAAGTGGCATATTTCACAATGGTTCCACATGCTGAAAATTCTTACCGTAATCCTACAGTAACGAAGAGCGATCGCTGATTCGCACCGTACTGTAAATCTAGGTTGATCCTCGCTCTATGGAATGGTGCCTCAAGCTCGGCGAAAGACGTGAAAGGAAGGGAGTTATAACGATCAAACAGTAATCACATTTTTGGGATACCCTGTATATGCCTGCCAATCCTTCTAAGGGAGCATCACCATTTCAAAAAGGGAGGTTAAAAAAAAACGACGCAAAAATTTTGGATTCTTGCTTTATTTCAATGTATTTTGTAGGACTTATTGTATAACTTATAGCCAAAAGCTTTTCAATCAACTAAGTTTGTTGAATTTGAAGAAAGTTGGATCTGAAAGAGGTTATAACATTTTGAACCTGAAAATTGCAAAACGGCCATATCATATGTAGCTATCTAATACTTGTGAATAATTGAGATCAAAGTTTTTGAGTTTTCAACTTAGTCTCGTAAAAAAATTCCGTGGACGCGCTCAGGCCCCTTTTCCTGAAACGGAGTCATAGGGCCACAAAAATTTTGGGAAGCGTTTCAATAAAATTTCCGAAGTGCGGGGCAGAATTTTTATCCCCCCCCCGCCCCTGAACGGAAACCCTGTGCCTGCCTCTGGTCTGCACATCTACGCATTATTACTGATAAAGCTAAAGCAGGCGACTCCTACTGAAATCTTGTTTGAAGATTTAGTGACATGTGGCCATCTTCTGGCTTTGTAATACAAAAAAAGTGCAGAATACAAAAGTAGTGCTTGCAAACGAGAACTATAATGCTTCAATTTTTTCTGAGCAATGTTTCGGAAATGGCACTGTCTTCATTCAATAAACCTTCGTTTTCTAATTATGTAGTGGAAGTCTTCGGCGAATATATTCGCGGTTGACCGCACATTTTCTCTAGCAGAGAACAAAGGTTGCGTATCAACGAAGGTCATTGACTAATGCTAGTTCTAGCAACTCCTTCCAAACATGTCATTAGATTTTTTGTGCAGCTCTTCTAGTAAATAGTATTGAGCCGTGGTTCTGTGACACTTTATTCATTTTTCTTCAAAAACTTTAGTAATTTTAGCAGGATCAAGTATTTGGCCGTTTGAGCAATGGACAATGATAGACTAACTAATGGTAACATTTTCACCTTTATGGATTACAGTGAAACAAAGGCGTTTCCTGACGGCAATTCTCTCCATTTTTCCTTCAAAAATTCTCTCAGCCTTATTTTTTATGCACTCATATTTATAATTATCCGCGGAGCGCAAGCTGAAAATTTGCCATAAATAATTGAAAATTTACAAAATGAAATTTCTAAATTTTTCGTGTGTGACATTTATGTAAAAAGCTACAACCCTCCATTTAATCCCTAGGAAGAATTATTATTGAAAAATTATTTTCCTTTCCTTCAAGTGTAACAATTTTTAGACAACTTAATACGTCCGTACTTTGTGTGCATTATTCTTTGTTTATTGATTGTCTTTCATTCCACTGAATTTTATTACAGATGTACATGTTGACTATAATATTGCTGACTCTCAGAACCACTAATGTATTCGCCGGCATCCTAGGAGATGGTCGAAAGCAATCAGTGGCTGTAAGCGGCCACCTTCTCTGCAATGAAAAACCAGCCGCGAATATAAGGCTCAAGCTATACGATAAGGAAATATGTGAGGAAAAAATTTTCTGTTGCTGTCAAAATAATTATCGCGGGCGCTGTAGCGGTAGGAAAGGAAGAATGGGTCTTTTAGAATCAAAAAATAATTTCCGTTAACGAATTTGTCATGTCTTGAGGCAATTTCCGTGACGTCTCGGAAATTCCCTCCAGAGGAACAATATTTTATCTCTTATCATTTAGGGTTACAGCTGTCCTTTGATAATTATGTACATAGGCTCATTCAAATGAACGTTTTTAACTTTGAGCTTGTTTTTTGAGCCTTGAGCCAAGATTGGTAATAACCTTTATTTTGGGCTAACGTTTCGGCGGCTGTTGAGGTGAGCGCTAGCTTGGTCTGTCCTCTGGTACCGTAGTAGTGCTTGTTATAATGTTGAGTTTTGATTCTGTAGGCTGAAAAGGTGTCTGAGCGGATGAGTCGCAATGTTTCTGACCTTTTCAGGCTCTGAAGAAGGCGACGCCGCCGAAACGTTAGCCCAAAATAAAGGTTATTACCAATCTTGGCTCAAGGCTCAAAAAACAAGCTCAAAGTTATACGCGATGCCGAGATTCAGTGACAATCGGACATGGAACGTTTTTAAGATCTCTCATTGAAGATATTTATAAAATAGAGACTTTTGCTTTTTCTTTACAACTGATGCCCTTCGCCAACTTTCGCTCTTACATTTACACATAGTTGAAATTCACATTGATATGCAGGGTGCCCCAAAAGTATGTATACACTCTTTGATCGTTAATATCTCTCTTTCCAGAAAGTCTTTTGCCTACCTTTAAGTACCATTTTGTAGATCTGTCTTCAACTTAGATTTACAGTCGGTATAGAGTGAGTCACCGACGTCCTTTGTTACTGTAGGATGACGGTAGGAACTTTCAGAATACAATGCCATTGTGAAAAAACTACTGAGAAATTTTCTTGAAAAATTCTGAAGAGCTGTGTACTAGAGCTTCCATGCATGCTGACTTCATTACATAATTTGTTATGAGTTTTTCAGGCTTTCTTGATCAAGGAAATCGAAAAAGTTTTTTTGTATACCTCGCATAAATCAGGAACGAAGCATTACAATTAAGTGCAGGTTTAATATTTGGATTCCTCGGTTCCGAGATTCTAGTGTGAAAGTTTTTAACTTATGTAACTCTCTTTCGGAGGTGAAATGTGGCTCAATTAGCCCTTACAAAATCCTCTTCGAAGTTTTTACCGCAATCTTACAGTAGTGAAGAGAGGAGGGTAAGTCTGTTTATGTTGCAAATCTAAGTTTCAGCAAAATTTACAAAACGGTAAATGAAGGTAGGCAAAAGACAGCTTGGTAAGAGAGATATAAACGATCGAACAGTGCATACATACTCTTGGGACACCCTGTATAGTCAAAAGTTGCACAAATTACTATCAATCACAATTTACAAATAAATAAAATTTTTGATTTTTTACGGCAATAGCGGATGCAGTGAATAATGATGTTAAGCCTGTTCGGATTTGGACCTATTAAAATTTTCCTTTTCTCCAGAGATCCGATCCTAGGCATAGTCCTTTTGTTCGAAAATTCCTTTTACTTTATCGATTTTTTTTTTGTTGTGAGAAACAAGGCCTACGAAGACGATAGGAAAAAAGGGGGAGGCATATGCAATTCAAGCTTTTTATTTTATCCTGTTTCGATCTAAAATTGGACTTTTCGCATGGCAAACACATTTCTTCAAATGGCTCGATTTTTGCTCTTTCCGACGAAAGTGATGAGCCCATGCTTTTGCAGTGGTGAAATTGCAGTCTCTGAACTGTCTCGAGGGCAATCTTATGTATTTCTCTCCTTTTCTTTCTTTTCACTTAGCCAGTCTGGGCTTTCGATCTCTCTTTAAGATATAAAATTAACAAAGTATGAGCAATTTTCAGTGCTTGATTACAAACTGGACGAAGGAAAGACTGATTCAAGTGGCGCTTTTTACTTACGAGGAAGTAAGAAGGAAATTACTAACATAGATCCAAAACTGAACATCTACCACAAGTGCAACTACAGCGGAGTAAGATGCCGCCTACATATCTCGTACCTTTTTTGAGCATAATCCATTATAGCCGTGTGTCAAAAAGCTGAGCATCATCATTCCGGACGAGTACATTACCGAAAGCAGCACGCCACAGTTGGTATTCAACATTGGAACAATCAATCTGGCAGGAATGATATCGGGAGAAGAGATAGATTGCATCAATTGAATGATGATTGCGGAGGGGACATATGCTTTAAGTGTCATTACGGATGAAAATTTTATTGTCTCTACAATCTCATAACATTCATTGCTTGTGCACATTTTGTAGATGATCTGCGCTACTATATGAAATAGAGATTGTTTCCACCAATAAACATTCCTGGAAAGGTCTGTATAAACCACGTCATTATAAAGCAATATTTATTCCCTCTATTCTGTATTTCCGGGCTATTGTAAGTTGAAAAAAGTGAGACGAGATTTCGTATAAAGCAAGAAAAAAGAGTGCTCATTGACTCCTGAATTTTTAGCTAATTCTGTATTTGAATGGAAAGTACAGATTGCTGTAGTTGAGAATATCCATCTCAGACCAATTAGAATATGTAGGGATCGACGCTGTATTGTGAAAAGGGTAGCCCCTGCATACGCAAGTGCTCTGGAGCTTTCTGAGAGCGCACAGACTTGTTTTCTCCCCTATATATATACCTTCAAAAAAATTCCTTGACAAAATTTTGGTAGCAATTGAGGACGATATAAGTTAAGTATTGACTATGGCAAAATTCCATATAAGGTGGTCAAAAATTCTATTTCCTTGTCAAGAAAATAATGTCGTTTTTCTTTTGCTTTAGCAAAGCAAGCTCTACAAACTGACATCCACACGACTTCGCGCCAAGTTCGATCCACGGGAGTTTGAGCTTAAAATCTAGAAAATTTAAAGGCCAAAAAAATCGGAAAAAATACGTTTTTTTTTCAATTCAGTGTTTAGCCGTTCTTAAATAAGTAATTCTATAGTACATGCATATAAGTATGACTGTAAATTTTCAGCCTATGGAGCTAAGTTTTAGAACTATACCGATTTTAGCACTGAGACTGAAAAGAAGGAAGCTAAATTTGATATATCTCAAAATATCTTTCAGAAAGGCTGATTTTTCTCATATACTTACCTATGCTTGTAGTATAGAGTTACTTGTGCTAGAAGGACTAAGCATTGCTCGAGAAAAACACGAAAATCTTCGTTTCATCAATTTTTAGTCGAGCAAAAAAATATATCACTTGCGCTTATAAATGTGCCTGCTTGCTATGCTAAAGCAAACAACGACATTATCTTTTTGACAGCCTCTTATATAGCGCACATAAAATTCACCCATTTTTGATTATATTATATTTTATTATATTTAATGAAATTGCGTCTTGTACACACTGCTCACCTAACCACAGTCGACAGGTCGTTTTGCATTCATTTTGTGGAACTGTTCCTTTCGGTGTCTGGAAAGAAAAAACCTAGGGAAAAACTATGAGCAAATCAGGGGAAATCATTTTTTATGGTTAACGCATTTAGAAGGGGCACTCAATGTGTGTATTGTGTGCAGTCGCACATATTAGCTTCGAACTGGCTAATGTGCAAAGCATTACATAACGCAAATGCAACAGAGACCATTTCTGGTAAGAAACCTAACCAATCGTACAATCACTCCAAAGAGCAAGAAATATCTTCTTGAGTGAAAAATTAGTTCACTATAAAGTGAGAACTCACAAATAATTCTTTTATCCGACGTTAGCCTGAAACCTTGTACCCAAAGCTTGTATGAAGTCAATTTAAAATTGCAAGTTTTCAGTAGTTCAACTTCGAATCAAGATTACTCTTTCTCGAAAATATCCATTCTGAGCTCATCGTATACCCTGCCAAGAGCAACCTTTGGATATATAACATACGCTCTCCATAGCTTAACCAAACCAAGAAAGATGTTTTATCCTGAAGAACGCTAAAAAATTTTTTGAAAACATTTAGTTTGCTCTAAACTGTGGTAATATAGCGTTCACTCTGCTCGTTGTGTAGTCAGTGTCAGATAAGCAGTGGTGCCAAACTCAGATTTTGCGGAATTTTTCAAAAAGGAAATATTATTTGAAAAAATCGAAAGAGCTCACTCTTTTTTGGGCTTCTCAACGGGTCCGAAATTTCCGCTGGAGGGAAAACCGTACCGTTTTGAGCCACCACATGTTCTGGGTTTACCCCTGCTGTATGGTGGTGTATGGTACTATGCAATTTTGTAGCATGAAGCCTCGCAATCGTTATGCACATTTTTCGAGGAAATCTAGTGATTTTCTATGGTTTTAGGGCTGAAAAAGCGAAAGAATTTACCTCAAGAAGTTGACTGCAACAGAACGAATGAAATTCTTTCGGCTCAAGTCAATATTTTTCCGGATTTTTCTGAGCAAGTTTGTATGAAAAGCATGGAGGTTTGCCATTCTTTTTCTTGTGGTCTCGTAGACGAGGGCAGTGATATGACTCTTGATTAGACTGTCGGTATAGCAACCGCGGCACACAACAGCAGCCTAGAGCGTAGGTCTTCATTCAGCTCATACACACGCGGCAACAATGGCTCCGAATGGAAAAATGGTAACTCATAATTTTTTTTATGAAAACTTCAAAAAAATGCCATTCAAATCAAATTAGTTTGCTAATTGCTCTCCTAGTGATTTGGCAATCATCTCAGCTTTTGATGCCCTTTGAAACCCACTAAAAAAATTCCTTTTTTCCATTTTTTAGAAATTTTATACTTCGCAAGCGAGATCTAACTCTCAGTTTTCCTTACTTCTACTCTCCTACGGATTCAGCGCGAGATCGTCTCGCTTCACGTTGGCCAGGCTGGCGTTCAGATTGGAAATGCTTGTTGGGAGCTTTATTGCTTGGAGCATGGTATCCAGGTAGATTACATTTTCCCGCACATTCTACACTTTCTTTTTTCCTTTTCAAGTTCTATCGATTTTTGCAACTAAAGCTTGTTTCAGCCAGATGGTTTGAAGATGAATTCGGTAGGCATTGGGATGTGACGACGTAGAATTAGAGTAGTGGAGTAGTGTAGAGTTTTATTTATTTCAGCCCGATGGTCTAATGCCGGAAGATAAAACTGTGGGAGTCGAAGATGCGTCTTACAATACATTCTTCTCAGAAACGCAGAGTGGTAAGACTCAATGTTTTTCTAACGGTAAAAAATATCAAGAAATGTAAAAAAGACCAGTGAAGTTATCAGAAAATTTGCTCAAGATTAGGCAGATTTAGCGATTTCTCCAAGAAGAATTACATTTGATGAGACAATTCTTATTTGTGTCTAATCATTGATACCACTAGGATGTAAGGACTCTTTTAACATAATTTTAATTCCAATATTTGAGCCTATAGAGCCATTCTTGTCCAGCATAAACGTTTCTGCACCTGCTGCTCTAATCACGTATCATTGCACGTTGCCATGATACCTTTCCCTAGTAATGAGCGCGCAGTTGAAAAAACGTCCTCGTAAAGGTCACAAAACCTCATAAATCCGCGCAAAGGGGCTTTTCATAGATATTACGATAGCTTAGCTGAGAGGATACGTAAACTTTAGATTAGTCTAATAAGAAGAAAGATAGATTTATATATCTTTTACTCCGTTTCGTCCCTTTCCTTAGACGGAGTTTTGAGGTCTAGACCCTGTCCGGGACTCTTCAGTAAGGAGAGAGGGTCTAGTTTTACTTTTCAAAAGAAATTATTTTGAAAAAAACGATGTTCTTACGATTAGTGATCTAGAGATTAACAACAAACTCTACTTTTCATGATTCATTCAATCACCAACACTCTCTAGTCATTTCTCACACATGCAATTGTTTTCAAGGTTGTTGACAAGCTCTGAAATTATGGGTTATACTTGTAAAAGGTAGAAAAATACAAAGCAGGATGCATCGAAGCACGATGAACGGTTGAAATGCCATTTAATTTGCCTTTTCTCTCGGATTTTAAAGAGTTAAATTTAATGATCGGCTTGGAATAGATCTGCTACCATTGCTGTACTAGCATGTCAGAACCTCCCGGGCAGATTTGGCACTCAGAATGCTCATGATTAATCTTTGTAATTCAGTAATTGCTAGACACCAACATATAATGGTTTCGGGCATATATGACTTCATGCATGAACTCTATATTCAGCTAGATTATCGTCTGTAGCATTTCTTTTCAGCTTTATATTACTCATGTATTAGACTACTTATCTGAGAGAAATACCTGAGCGCCCCTCAGCTAACTGCTTTAGACCAATAAAAATATAATAATTTGTAGTCGAAAATAAAAGGTTAATAAGCTTATATTAGGTCGTTTCAAAATTAATGTCGCTTTTTTCAATGAACGCCACATCTGGTGGAACAAAGATGTCTAAGAGATCTTGGTAGCAGATGCAGTAATTCGTCCTTTTTCTAATGATTATAAAATTGTTGCATAAATTGTTGCAAGTTTCACAATTTTTCTCAAGTTTTATTTCAATCCTCTGAAAGAGTCCGTGTAACGATTCGATAGGGCAAACCTTAGGGATAAGGTACGACTTTTTTCTCTTTTCTAAACCACGCCATAGTTTTTTAAATCATATTTTTTTACCAAAACCATCGGATTTGGCGGGATTACGCCAGTTACAATCACATCAAAAGTCAATAATTCTTCGGGTTTTGATTTTACAAAGCAAATGAGAGTTTACGGATTCGAAATATCAAATTTTAAGTTTTCCGTACAGCCTGGGGCGCAATCAAAAACATGAGTTGTGGTGATTTTGTCCACAAAGTTTCCACGAATGGGAACAAAAAACACCCATTAGAAAGAGGAGAAAATGTTGCATCGAATAGCACCCGAATTGTTCTCCCTTTGATGTTCGACGGGATTTTAGCTGCCCAAATATAGAATGTGGTAGCATCAGTCAAAATTTTATTAAAAACTGTATGACGAGTTATGGAAAGGAGAGGAAAATTGCTTTGCGTCCTCCAGGGCTTGCTCTGTAAGTCTGTCACTTGGACTTCTTCAGAGGGTTGGTATAAAAATGTAGAAAAATTATGAAACTTGACCATCTTAAAAAGTATGGGTCGCAGATTGCAGATTTTGGCAATTTTCCGAAAGCTCGTTGAAATGGCTGCAAAAGTTTTATAATCATTAGAAGGAGGATGAATTGCTGCATCGAATACTACCAAGCAGGGCCCGGCACAGATGGTTAGGGGTCAAACTGGACGTCGTTTTTGAAGTTAGAAGCAGCGGGGATATGGTTTTTATAAGATTCTGGGGGAAGCGCCGATAAAAAAAACGACAAACATGTCAGGTTTTACGAGTCGAACATGTTCTTTCGCAAGCGCGCGAATTTCAAACGCAAGATTCAAACAAACAAATGGCTTGTTTACAGCGCACAAACATTCACATGCTCCGAATTTGGACTATGTATATACAATTTACCACTATGTTATGTAAAAAGTTCCAAAAACTTATGTGTCCTAATATCAGTTCCCGAATTTGTTGGTTTCTAGACCAACACCAAGCCAACTGGGTTGGTTCGGAGCATAAATATCGGAGAGTTCACATAAGTTTTGGACCTTTTTGATATAAACGATCAGAACGATCAGAACGGTCAAAAATCTATCATATAGTGAAGAGAGCAAATCAAACTATTGCCTCTCCTCTTTTTTGAGCCGACAGTAGTTAAATCTATGCGCGTTGATAGATATTGCGCTCCAGTCACACGCGGTGTCCTTTGAACTAAGTGGCGAAAAATGCATCGCCAGATTGTTGAGGCTACAGATTTGGTTGGCCTAGGAGGTTCTCGACACTCTGAGCACTAAAATGGTACTCTACCCAATGACAGAGCCTTTAACCAACTCGAAACGTTTTTTTTTTGCTTATTTATTGTATTAGATAACTCAATATGCGCTTTTTTCGCTTTTTTATTGTTATTTTGATTGAATAAGGGCTCCCCTACTGATTTTTACGTCAAGAGGGACCTCGCAAGTTTTCGCGAAGTCATGGGGGACCTCGTTTCCAAAATGCTTTACATCAACGCGTGCCGGGTCCTGCTACCAAGACCTCTTGTTGTTAGATATCTTTGTTCCACCAGATATGGCGTTCATTTGAAAGCAACATTACTTTTGGGACGACCTAATATTAGGTTGTCTAGTTCTGTCGTTTTATTTTGAAAAATTTGTACTTTTTGCTATCTCGACGGATTTCTTTGTGAATATATCAAAAAGAGGTCTTCATCTTTGTAGATATATTACGACGGGCTTCTAATATGCACTCACTGCAGACCAAAAATGGAAAAAGAAGACCATTCAGGCTGTACGCATTTTATGTCAGGTCGCCAAAAATCTGTAACCCTGCAGAAAATTCTGAGATTGTCAGTACATAAGTTTTGTGCCCCAATGTTTGCAGCTGAAGAAAAGTTGTGCTGTTTGGACGTCTCTGTGAAAAATTTGATATCCGAAAGAAAGTGACGAATTGATCCATTGTGGCGTCTTCTGTTGTAAATTCACAATTCAAACGTACCTTCTCACAGGGATATGAACAGTACATACTTTTTCGTTTGCGAAGAGTAGGTCATAAAAATTCTGTACCGCCGATCTCAGAATCTTCTGCAACGTTCCAGATTTTGAGGACGTAACTCAAAATGATCAACGCTTGAATTGTCTTGTTTTTTCATTTTTATCCCTGCCCTGATTGTATTGTAGAAGATCAGCGAGATACATCTACAAAGAGGACAATTTTCTTCTTTTCAATAAGATTAGAAAGTAACATTCGTCGAGTTAGCAAATCGTTACAAATTTTTTGAAAATAAAACGATAGATTTTGGGACAACCTAGTACATATGTAGCTATGATAAAGGATGAGTAGTGTTTTCAAGACACACGGTCCTGTCCAATGGGGCAAAAATGTCACGCTCAACAATTGCTATGCATACTTTATTTTATAGAGCTAAAGTTTAACTGCGGCAAGAAGAAATTTATGTATCAAACTTTAACCTTTAGGGAAGCATGTTCCACGCGCTGTATTTGTGGACTTGGAGCCTACTGTAGTGGACGAAGTACGTACTGGCATCTATGCGAAACTCTTCCATCCGGAGCAGCTTATCACCGGCAAGGAGGACGCTGCAAATAACTATGCTCGAGGGCACTACACCATTGGGAAGGAACTCATCGATGTGTGCATTGACCGAGTTCGAAGTAAACTCTCCCGAAATCATTGAACAGATCAAAAATTGGAATTTGAGGGCTCTGTGAACGCTGTGCGTCTCTCCAAGGCTTCCTAATTTTTCGCTCCTTTGGTGGTGGAACCGGCAGTGGCTTCGCCGCATTGATGATGGAACGTTTATCCGTTGATTTTGGCAAGAAAGCCAAACTAGAGTTCAGCATCTACCCAGCTCCTCAGATCAGCACAGGTATGCACATTCTGATTAAGTTCAAGAAGAAGTAACCGTAAACTCACTTTAGCCATGGTTGAACCTTACAACTCCTTGCTCACAACTCACACCACATTGGAGCACTCAGACTGTTCGTTCATGCTTGACAACGAAGCCATCTACGAGATTGCTAAGACAAATTTGAATGTCAGAAGGTTGGTTTTAGTGCCGATAAGGATGCGAACGCTGTTTTCATGTAAGAGTACCGGGTCAAAATGCTTGATGTCTATTCAAGTCTCATTCGAAGAAGCGCCTGCTTGTGGAAGTAAGCAGCACAAATTCAACAGATTTAACATTAAACATTTTCCGTTCAAAACAACGCTGCTCTAGTCATCATGTGCATGTATGGGCTAAGAACCCTTTTTGTGAGTGAGCGCATCTCAGAAGCTGAAAATTTGGAGGACAAACGTCTTCCATATCTTAGAATTTGCATTGTCTAATCTGCAATATTCTCTTTTTTTCGCTCAACGAAATGAAGGCAAGGTTTACCTCTCCGGAAGTCATTGATGACTAAGAATGTCCGTAAGTCTTGTAGAATAGATGAATCTACCTTGATCTAAACCATATCGCTCTCAAGAGCCATAATTAAATTCGCCAAAGAGAATGTTAGGCTGAATACTCAGGAGTGTCATGAGAAAGAAAGTGTGTTTGAAGGCAGTCACCAGACTTATTCGGTTAGCCGCTTAGCTGCTTCATCATTGGTCAAATCACTGGTTTGACCAATCATAAAGCGGCAAAACGGCTATCCGATACCTCCAGCGCCTGTCATAGTGGACACCAGAAAAAAGTTCCCAGCATTTTGGCCTTCAAGCAAAAAGGTGCTGTTTTAGCGACCAATGTTTTATGTAGTCTTTACAAGGCCAGACATTGAGATTTCAGCTTTCGCAAATTAAATTTTCTTTGGCACGTCTAAAAACTGCAATATTTGGTACTCCCCCCCCCTCGCTTCTGCCTCCACTCCACCCCTTCCATAATCTTTTCTTTCTTACAGCCCAATTTAGAACTTTGTGATTAGGAGCGATGTTTTTGATGCCATGAGTACCGCTCCTGTTCGTTTCCAAAATTCAGCATAGAACCTCTTAGATATATTAGGGTGAACGGTAAAAAATGGGACACCTTGAGAATAATTGCAGATTTCTCAAGAAATAAAAGTGACTGAACTTTCCAATTTTGATGGATATTAGAATGAATTATTCTCTTTCAGATAGCACCTATATAAGGTCATTCAAATAATTGACAATTTTTATAATTGCTAAAATGCAAAGTTAGTTACTTTGAGAAATTATGAAGTTTGAGCAGTATCGGCGCAGTGAAACATGTGAGACCACCCAAAGTACCACTGCTGGAGTGGGTGGTGGGACAGTCACCAAACCCACGACGGCTTGGTGGCTTTAACTCTTAATGTCAGGAGATATGCCCATTAACAGCTTCGAGAACAAAGATACGCGTTATTCAACTCTTTGCAGGTAAACGCATGATTTCTAGATAAAATCTGATAGAGCTTTTTACGCTCTATCCATCCATATGCAGCTTACCTCAGATTTTATCTATCTTCGGAAATTATAGGGCAAAACATGATTTTTTGGTTTTTTGTTGCTCCAAAAATAGCTATTTTTCAGGTTTTTTCGATTTTTTCTTCTGAAATTGAAAAGAAATCCCACGCGCTTAACATATCGTTCGAAAGAGCATGAAGTGCTCTTTCGAATGGTGTGTCATTTGCTTCACGACCTTACGGTATAACAGCGCAAGATTGAGGATTGTCCAAAAAACCCTGTTCGAGTTCTTCACGGCGCCACGTGCAGGGTAGTGGAAGAGGAGCGTTAACGCGTTGTCAGAATAATAAGCGAAGGTCGCCCATGTAAGCGACGTTTAAGTTGCCGCTTACTTGCTGTTGCCCGAAACAAAAAATTCCAAAATGTCATGGAAATCAAGCTGTCCCATTTTTTTACCGTTCACCCTAATAATATTCTGCATCCATTAAGAGTGAACGAGGTAGACCTTTAAAATTATTTGCCATCGCGTTCAGAAACGACCATAAATTCACTGTACTTACAGCCCGACCTACACAAATCTCAATCGACTGATTGCTCAAGTTGTATCTTCAATAACAGCATCTCTGCGTTTTGATGGAGCTTTGAATGTGGATCTTACTGAATTCCAGGTACTTATAGAAACCTAGGAGATGGAATTTCGATATTGTAGCCGAACTTGTACACAAGTCGGTTACACCAAATGTCGTTAATTTAGTCTATTGGTTTTAGACGAACCTCGTTCCTTATCCAAGAATACATTTTCCACTGGTGACCTACGCTCCAATCATATCGGCGTAAGTTGATTTCTTTATATTCGAAATTGTTTACAAAAAGAAAAGATAACGTAAAGACTCTCACTGAATATTCTGATTTTCTAATATTGCAAACCTGTCCTTTGTAACAAAGCGAAAATCGTTCCGTTCATATCAAATAGAATTCATTTAGTGTCTCACAACACTCAACTCAAACTTCCTAAATTTATAACTTGCTTTTGTGCACTTTTAGCAAAACCTAATTTTTTTTACTATTGTGATTGTGTGTAAGCTACAGTCCAAATTGCAAGCAAATCCTTCAAAAGGAGGAGCACAAACTCTCACAGTTTGCAATGTTTCAATGCCAATGAAGTTGAAAGTCAGAAGATGAATGTATTTTTCCAGAGAGAAGGCTTATCATGAGCAGCTTACCGTTTCCGAGATCACAAATGCATGCTTCGAACCAGGGAGCCAATTGGTGAAATGTGATCCACGTAATGGAAAATACATGGCATGCTGTTTGTTATTCAGAGGAGATGTCGTTCCGAAGGTAGGACACTTTATGCGAATTAGACAAAAAATGCCATTTTTAGGGTTCACTCCTAGAGTAATTTCTTTCAGGATATCAACTCGGCCATATCTGTAATCAAAACAAAAAGAAATATACAATTTGTGGACTGGTGAGATTTACTGATTCTAGGTTTCGACATCGAGCCTTCTCTGAGCATTCAATGCATCTTCTCTCATCCTTTTTTGTCTTATAGTAAGATCAACGTAAAAAAAGATAATTCGAAGTAAGCTTCTAATGCGATCACTTTGCTAAGCAAAACCGCGCAAATCGCGAGCACATTGACTATGTCACTGCACAGCGAAATTTACACCCAAAATAAATCATTTTTAATGCTACTTTATCGCAAGACATGGATCAATAACCTTGAAGTAACAACGTTTATGTAGGTGCCCAACTGGCTTCAAAGTTGGCATCAACTATCAGCCGCCTACCGTGGTACCCAACGGTGATATGGCAAAACTCCAGCGAGCAGTCTGCATGTTATCCAACACCACTGCTATCCAGGTGGGGCCTCAGATTAGATTCTAAAAAATCTCGCTTGTATAAAAAAACCCCAATTTAGGAAGCTTGGGCAAGGCTGGACCATAAATTTGACCTGATGTATGCAAAACGAGCATTCGTACACTGGTAAGGCTTACAAAGATGCCCAGTCAATCGATAATCGATTTCCGGCGTAATAACAAATCCTAATTTGAGGTACGTTGGCGAAGGCATGGAAGAAGGTGAATTCTCCGAAGCACGCGAAGATATGGCAGCTCTCGAGAAAGACTATGAGGAAGTCGGCGTCGACTCGTTTGATCCTAATGATGAGGAATATTGATTTGTCTTTGTTTAGCCCATCGAATTTTTTCCCGAATAATATTGGTTAGGGAGGAAACCCTAATGCCAAATCTTGACATTAGGTCAGCCAAAACTGTTCCTTTATAGTTTCCACGTAATAAAACTTGTTGAAATGAATATTGTGACTTCTTTGGGCTCTGACTGAGACTCTGACTTGTGAGTAGTCTCTGGGAACATCCATCATGTGGAGAATAGTACGATGCGCTGCGGGTAGATATTGACCTATTACATATTGTTTTATTTTTATTTTGTGACGAGCAAATACTAAAGTACATTTTTCAAATTAGAGCTTACATTTGCTGCACCACCAAAAAATCAAAGCGCATCATTAGTGTAGTAATGCAGTTGGGACTTCTAGCTAGTCGCGGTAAAGTAGAGATTAGAAAAGTAAAGTAAAAAGCTGAAATAGGCTACACATTTCTTTATAGAATCACTCTGGAGTCGCTGATCCTAACAAAGAAGATTTTGAAGATTGTAGAGAATAACCTTGAACAGGGATTGTTTTAAAATCCAAATTTTGCTCACGCAAACCGCTGTTTCTCCAAAATCTAACTGCAGTAATTGAAGTACTCAGTTACCCGATCAACACGAGATTTTGGAGCATATTTGAACAAGGTACCATACCGTTTACAGTTTGTGGAAAGGAGCCGCCCGAGTACGCCGAAATTTCATCTCCTCAAGATTCGCTTTAAAGTCAACGAAGTGAATCCGAAGGTTTACCCAAATCAGATCGACGCCACCCGTCTTCAAATTCGGAAGCGCCATCGTCTATCGGAGTATGATTACTGTAGATAGTCAATTTTGGCAGCAGCGATGATGAATGTGCCGTAAGCAACATAGTGAGTAAATCAACCCTGAGCAAAAATCCTACTGTCTACCTACTGTAAACCTACCGTGCCCAGACAGATACGTATTGTCGAGTCGTTGAAAGCACGGCTGGCCATAAATCGCGGAGTACACGCGGCGCGACTGAAATGCCACGAGAGCATGACTGTACAGTAGTGATCTGTACTGGTACAAGCTTGTTGCGCGGCACGTGCTCCGCATCACGGCCAGCCCGTGTTGTCAACGACTCGACGATATATGTCAAATGCTATCTTCGAGCTGGACTGGATTTGGAATTCGTTCGCTTTGCACCACGTGCGGCTCAATTTTCCGCAAAATCGGGCGGGCTTCTTTTTAGAAGCTATTAGCGGTGCTTATATCTTGAAACGTAGACGCACGCAGAATATGTATTTAAGGGTGGTAAGTGGGTAAGACCTACTTTTCACATTTCGATCTAGTCTGTGTATAGATCAAAAGTATATGCTTAAGCGTCCTTCAAGCAACCATACAGGGTGTCCCAAAAAGATGTGCACACTGTTTGATCGTTAATAACTCTCTTGTTTTCATGTCTTTTGCCGAGCTTGAGGTACCATTCTGTAGGGCGAGGATAAACTTAGATTTACTGTATGGAGCAAATCACTAATTACTCTTTATTACTGTAGGATCACGGTATGAACTTTTAGCATACAGCATCGCTGTGGAATAGGCCTTTTGATGAAATAATCTCGAAAAAATCTAAAAATTTGTGTAGCAAGGTTTTCAGGCGATTTCACTACATAACTTTTCACCAGTTTTTCGAGCTTTCTTGATGGCGTATTCACATTTTTGACAAACATTGGAAAATCAGTTGTCACCCTAAATTTGAAATAACTCGTGAAAGAAACAGTGCACCGATGTGCAATTTTCATATTTAGAATTAGCAACTTCATTAACCCAGTTCAAGAGTTTCTGGCTTCTTTGGCTTTCTTTCTAAGGCAAAATACCGCTTTTAATGGTTTAAAACCCTCCTCAAAATTAATACCGTAATCCCACAGTAATGAAGAGATGCTGATAAGTCGCTCCATACTTTAAATCTAAGTTGAACCTCGTTCTAAAGAATGGTACCTCAAGCTCGGCAATGGACATGAAAGCAAGAGAGTTATTAACGATCAAACAGTGTGCACATCTTTTTGGGACACCCTGTAGATTCAAAAAATTGTTGTCCGTCGCACTTCATCAATGGAACTCATTAGCACTCAAGAGACTACTTGTCATCAGGATCGTGATTTTATCAAAGGGACCATGTACAAATTGCGCATACATTATACGGAATAAAACTGTATTATCTTGATGTATCTCACGGTCAATCTTGAAACGAATAAGTATAGATTGCACACCTCCACATTCAAATATTTCTATATTTTTTAAATTATTTCGCTTCATGGTGAGGCTATCTACTCCATCGTCCGCTCCACCTAAGGGAGTTCGCATCATGTCCATTTTCTACGCGTATTTGTGGTTGACAGTGCAAGTACACTACAATAACGTTCTTACCAGACAATCCACTTGCTGCATGCATATGTATTCATAATCAAAATTGCCCTAGACAATTCACACTTGCTGCATTACTACGTCATTCCAAGAATCTGTCCCGCACGACAAAATTCTATTCATTCTCTCTTCTACTAATTTTGTGATACTACACAAAAGAACAAGATCTGCAAAACGGGGTCCAATATTCGCATAAAGATCTCCACGCGAGGTAAAAACCTGTCAGTGTTCATTTGCCTAAAAATCGAAAAGCGCAAATAGGCGAAGGCAAGATGCCGTCATTTTGAGTTATTTTCGTGCTACGTTTGATATTTCTGGCATATTAACGCATAAAATCGAGGGTAACCTATGGTTTCATTTCCAAAGGCTTCTACCACATGATGATCTGCGTTGGAGAATTCTGAGATTACTTTGACTGGACTGGTTAATTTCCGCTTTCTCAGATTAGGTCACAGAAAAAACAATCGCCTGCTCAGACAGTCGAAGGGATACCTCCGAAGGGCAAATGGCGGAGGTTTGCCACTCGTGCTCTTGAGCCCTCCCATTTCACGCGTTTTGGTGCTCCGGGGCTCCTCCAAATCTGGCGCACCCCCGAAGCAGAGATTTGAGAGCTCCGGAGGTTACATTCGCCTTCTTGTGACGTCACCGTGACCCCCGCTAGGCAGAGCCCGGGACCATCCCATTTTCGCTCCGGAGGTATCCCTTCGACTGTCTGAGTGTGTATGTTTGCAACGTGCACGACAATAGCCGAATTTATAACTCACAAAACCGTCTAGACAATGAGCCATTCCACATAAAATATATTAGCGTACAGAACCTTCAGAACCTTTGCAACCTTTAGATGGAGTATGGCCATTCAGATGAAATTTATCTTGCTAAACTTAGTGATGAAAGCTGATTTCAAAGCTGAATTCTTATCTGCGTAACTCAAAGATTCTTTCAAGGAAAGGATGTTTGGTCGAAGTGGCTTTTTGAGATAAAATGCATACCAACTTGGAGGGCATAAAACGCTGATTCTAAATTTGCTTTCCCTATTTGCGGAGCTTTTTGGACGAGGAGTTATGAGCAACAAATTGAATGCTTCACCTGGATAGCTTGTAGTTTCTCAGACCTTAATGCTGATGATTGTCAGGTCACTCCGTGCAATAGATAGGTTTGATTTAAATACAACCTCACTCTCCGTTGCCTTAATTGAATTAATTTTTTAGTTGCTCCTCCTATTCTTTGCGCCTACAAAATTCACATCTCTTCTATGGGCGCTCCGCAGGTAAGGAAAGCAGATTTGCAATCAGCTCTTCATGCCCTTCAAGATGGTATGCACCTCATCTTGGAAAGAAACTTAGACCAAACATCCTTCCCTTGTTGGTTTAACCATATTAACACATCACTGAAGGAACACTGCAGTATGTGCTGTTATTCCCAGCTTTTATTGCACAGAGGGCAGCACGTTCAAACCTTTCACGAGCAACTTTTCTGCACTTTTCATGACACCACAGGCTTCTTCAAATATGCGTTCCGCACATGAAGTTCAGCATTCGTCATTGGTTCGATCTATATCTCATCTGGAATGGCCGCTTTGGCTAAGATGGCATTCCTTGTCAGCTCAGACAAATGCTATAGCAATTTAACAAGTAGACTTTGATGATGACTCCTTACCACATGTACTTTTTGCGCCTCACGTTTCCGCTTTTTTGTCGCCATCCAAATTCCAGATTTGAACTCTATAAACTCATAGATTTTTTATAACCTGAGTTCTGGAAGAGCAGGAGTGCTGAATCTACTGTGGGCACCAAAAGAATGTGCTATAATGGCTTAGTTCGGAGGACCTTCCAAAGATAGGGAACTCGCACATAGAGCAAAGACGGTGCAAAACAAATTGTGGCCTGTACTCGTTGCATTCTTTACTCCACATACGTTGTCTTCTTTTTTCGCTAGATTACATGAGAGCACAAAGAAGAAAACGACGATTTTTGCATGGCCGTAGGTGCGCGTTTGCAAATGAGTGATTGAACCAGTTTGGTGAGCAAGTAGGATCAGTTGAGTTTTCTGCAGCGATAGTCCAAATTTTGTGGAATTCAACTTTTTAGAATTTTTCTTCACACTTCAAGGAGTTCAAACTCCATGCAAATGTATGAGGGTCATCTTGGTGGCTGCGAAAGCCTTTTTGTTTAAAGTCGCGCTCTGAGATGTGATGCATTTCTTTTTATAGAGCATGCAACGCAGATTTCAAATCTGCCTTCCTTATTTGCTGAATGCTTGTGGGCGAAAAGTTATGACCGTTATTGGAGCGAAGACATCTTGCTCTCTTCCTAAACAAGTATTCTTCGGGATCAAGTCGGCTAGCTTTTACCGGGGGATTCGCTGACCTCAAAAAACGGCGTTTTAATAGACTTTAGAAGAAGCAAAATTCTAAAAAATAGAGCATAGCGCTTTTCTTTCGGCTTTGTTGAACTGTAATCAAATGTCCATGTCATTGTGGTGGGGGCTTCAGTATCTGTCTTGCGTTCCATTTGCATAACTCTCATTCCTTCTATGACTGAGGATGTCTTTTGTCTTTTCTTTTGTGTCCATATTTTTGTTCGATTTTGGTCCCTGTAATGGTGCACCATAAATGTATACATAAAT